TCTCTACTTAAAATACAAAAATTAGGCTGGGTGTGGTGGCTCACGCCTGTAATCCCAGCACTTTGGGAGGCTGAGGTGGGCGGATCACGAGGTCAGGAGTTCAAGACCAGACTGGCCAACCCCGTTTCTACTAAAAAATACAAAAGAAACCCCATATTTACTAAAAAATACAAAAGTTAGCTGGGCATCGGTGGCTCGTGCCGGTAATCCCAGCTACTTGGGAGGCTGAGGTAGGAGAATTGCTCAAACCAGGACCCAGGAGGTGGAGGTTGCAGTGAGCCAAGATCACGCCACTGCACTCCAGCCTGGGCTACAGAGTGAGAGAGACTCCATCTCAAAAAAAAAAAAAAAAAAAATTAGCTGGGCGTGATGGCATGCACCTGTAGTCACAGCTACTCAAAAAGGCTGAGGCAGGAGAATTGCTTGAACCTTGGAGGTGGAGGCTGCAGTGAGCCAAGATTGTGCCACTGCACTCCAGCCTAGCAACAGAGTGAGACTTCGTCTCAAAATAAAATAAAATAAAATAAAATGTATATACATATGCAGTAAATGGATTAATCTATATTACCATAAGAAATTTGGTCATGGCCGGGTGGGGTGGCACACACCTGTAATCCCAGCCCTTTGGGAGGTTGAGGTGGGAGATCACCTGAGGTCGGGAGTTGGAGACCAACCTTACCAACATGGAGAAACCCTGTCTCTACTGAAAATACAAATTTAGCTGGGTGTGGTGGTGCATGCCTGTAATCCCAGCTACTCGGGAGGCTGAGGCAGCAGAATCACTTGAACTGGGAGGCAGTTTGTGGTGAGCCGAGATCACACAACTGCACTCCAGCCTGGTGACAGAGCAAGACTCTGTCTCAAAAAAAAAAAAAAAGGTCATATAGTGTTATTACCTATCTCAATTTATATTAAAACACCGAAAATTAAAATATAGATTTTTTTACATTTAGAGAGATACTTAGTGTTCTAATAAAGTTACTGAGTATAAATATCTCTAGAAACACATTTGAAACCCTCACAGAATAGGAATTCGTAAATCAGAAAACACACATCTTTATCTGGTGTTTCTGAGATTTTGAAACCAAATTTCCAGATCACTACAGCTTTTACACATTGCATAAATGATGTAGAAAGGATTTAAAATAGTTTAATACAGAGTTTCTCAAATACACTGTTGTAACCGAGTGAGTTAGAAGGAATGTGCCACACTCTGAGTTCCAAATTAAGACTCCTTTATTGATTTGCCAGCAACCTAGAGACGGCTAATGCTCAAAATTGTCTCGACCCTGAGGAAGTGGCCTGATTATCTTTTATACCTTAATTTAGGTAGGGGAGGGAAGTACCTAGCTGAAGCAGAATTTTACAGAAGCAGAAAAGCAGGTTAGAGGAAGGGGCTGCGGACATAGGTGGTTTCCATACAATTACCAAGAAGCGGGGCGATCAGGCTCCTTCTACACGATGATCAAAGGGAAACTTTTTTCTTACAATAGCAGGGGGAGGTATGTCAAGCAGGATGCAGTTACAATGGTGACAAGTGTTAAGAATGCTTCAATCCTCCTAAGTGCAGCATGACCCAGTTATGCACCCAAAGGGGCTGTGGTAAAGAGGGGGAAGCCAGGTTGGGGTTTACAGCTAACATGGAGTCAGTTATGCTAGCCTAGAGTAGGTTATTACAATACAAATAGTCTCATGTTCTCCAATAGCCATGGAAGAGCTGTCAGATTATTCAGCCTATTACAAATCATAAGATGGACTTCAGCTCAAAGTATAAACTTGAAGGAAGATTAAATTAAAATTCTTAGGAGATTTCAGAGCATGGGACAGAAGCTGTCCCACTCTTTGGGTATGATGAAAAAAATCAGGTATTTTAGAAACTATTTTCATTGGAGCAGAGCTTCCTAAAACACATATTATGAGCCAGGCACGGTGGCTCATGCCTGTAATCCCAGCACTTTGGGAGTCCTAGGTGGGCAGCATTCTGAGGTCAGGAGATCAAGACCATCCTGGCCAACATGGTGAAAATCTCTACTAAAATACAAAAAATTAGCCAGGTGTGGTGGGGCGCACCTGTAGTCCAGCTACTCAGGAGGCTGAGGCAGAAGAATCGCTTGAACCCAGGAGGCAGAGGTTCCAGTGAGCCGAGATTGAGCCACTGCACTCCAGCCTGACGGAAGAGAAAAACTTCATCGCAAAAAAAAAAAAAAAAAAAAAAAAGAGGGCCGGGCGCGGGGGGCCAAGCCTGTAAACCCAGCACTTTGGGAGGCCGAGGCGGGTGGATCACGAGGTCAAGAGATCAAGACCATCCTGGTCAACATGGTGAAACCCCGTCTCTACTAAAACTACAAAAAATTAGCTGGGCATGGTGGCGCGTGCCTGTAATCCCAGCTACTCAGGAGGCTGAGGCAGGAGAATTGCCTGAACCCAGGAGGCGGAGGTTGCCGTGAGCCGAGATCGCGCCATTGCACTCCAGCTTGCGTAACAAGAGCGAAACTCCGTCTTAAAAAAAAAAAAAAAAAAAAAAAAAAAAAAAAAAAAAAAGTTAGATATCTGTTAGATGGTATAGAGTTACACAGAAGAGCAAGTAGATGTAGATGCATATGATTGGTGCTTAAACTCACACAGCACACCACAGGAGAAAAACATAAGCAACAGCCGGACAATTAGCTCCACGGCCAAATAGCAAAATAAGAAGTTGACCTTTGTATTAATTTATTTTCACACTGCTATAAAGAACTACCTGAGATTGAGTATTAATTTATTTTCACACTATTGTAAAGAACTACCTGAAATTCACCCACAGCTAACATTTTATTTCTTTTTTTATTCTTATTCTTTTTTAGTTTTGGACACCTTTATGAAGATAAGTGATTTAATTGACTCAAAATTTCTCATGGCTGGGGAGGCCTCAGGAAATGTACAAACATGGCAGAAGGCAAAAGGAAAGCAAGGCATGTCTTCACAAGGTGGCAGGAGAGAGTGAAGGAGAGAGAAAGCACCACGCATCAGACAACCAGATCTCCTGAGAACTCTATCAGAGAACAGCAAGGGGGAAGTCTGCCCCCACGACTCAATCACTTCCCACAGGGCTTCTTCCCTGACTTGTGGGGATTACAATTCAAGATGAGATTTGGGTTGGGACAAAGAGCCAAACCATATCAGCTTTTAATCTGTTCCCTCCACATCTAGACTTTGGAGGTCAACACTGTGAAGAGACCTGAAGACATGGATTTCCTCTTTCTGAGGCCCTATCATCCATTGTTTATTGTCTGATATTTGGAAGAGAAATCCAAACAGGATTTTTGAAATCCAAACAGCAACTGGAACACAGTTGTCTACATGCAGACACTTCCTGCTTGCAGCTGATGCTCTAAGGGCACTGTCCCTCCCACCCTTGGGCTGAACAGAGTTTATTGAGAGAGGTTGTTCTCTCACTTCTACTAGAAAAGGGATATTTAGGTCCTTTACCTCTTTGAGGTAAGAGACTCAGAGCTCTCAGAGATGCACTTCAATGTGTCAGCTGCTTGCCATTTGAGGCTACTGGGTACCTGGAATGTGGCTGATTTAAAATGAGATGTGCTGCAGATATGAAATAGAGTGAATTAAGATGATTTAGGATCAAAAATCATTTTATTAATAATTATCTATTGGGTCGGGCGAGATGGCTCACTCTATAATACAAGCACTTTGGGAGGCCGAGATAGGTGAATCGCCTGAGGTCAGGAGTTCAAGATCAGCCTGATAAATATAACAAAACCCCATCTATAATATAAGTTCAAAATTAGCTGGGTGTGGTGGCACACACCTGTAATCCCAGCTAGTTGGGAGGCTGAGGCAGGAGAATTGCTTCAACCCAGGAGGCAGAGGTTGCAGTGAGCTGAGATCATGCCATTGTACTCCAGCCTGGGCAACAAGAGAGAAATTTCATCTCAAAATAATAATAATAATAATTATATATTGATAACATTTATTCCTAGTGTTCCATTGTTGGAACGCTAAACATGTGGGAGTTATTTATATCCTACTGCTTAAGGTCATTCATTGCCAAGGTATGATTGCAAAAATTTTAAAAATTGCAACCTCAGGCATAAATGGGTTAAAATAATAATATTTTGGATATACCGGGTTAAAGAATAACAAACAATTTCACTTTTAAAAAAAATATATATATTTAATGTGGTCACTAAAATGTTTAAAATTCACCCACAGCTAACATTTTATTTCTTTTTTTATCTTATTCTTTTTTAGTTTTGGAGACCGAGTCTCTCTCTGTCGCCCAGGCTGAAGTGCAGAGGCGAGATTCTGGCTCCCTGAAACCTCCACCTCCCAGGTTCAAGTGATTCTCCTGCCTCAGCTTCCGGAGTAGCTGGGATTACAGGCACACTCCACCAGGCCCAGCTAATTTTGTATATTTAGTAGAGAGGGTGTTTCATCATGTTAGCCAAGCTGATCTCTAACTCCCAACCTGTGGTGATCCACTCGCCTCGGTCTCTCAAAGTGCTGGGATTACAGGCGTGAGCTACTGCCTGGCACATCTTATTTCTTCTTTTTTTTAAAAAAAAAATTGTTTTTTTTTTGTTTTAAAGACGGGGTTTCACCATGTTGGTCAAGCTGGTCTTGAACTCCCGACCTCAGGTGATCCGCCTGCTTTGGCCTCCAAAATGCTTGGATTACAGGAGTGAGCCACCACGCCCGACCCTAACACATTTTGTTTCTTAGAGGTTTGCTTTTCTTCTAAAATCTCAGGTTGCCTACTTAGAAGATCAGAGGCCAAAAAAGTTATGAAATATTAAATATTAAAATAATTATTATAGAGTTTCCATTTATAAACAACATACATATGTGTGTATACAGTTTATAAGTGGACATAACCTTAAACACAAGATTAAAAAATTACCGCTGGGGAGAACTAAACCCAGCACAGACAGAAAGCCTTTTCTGAAAATGACAGTGCTCAAGAGCCTGTCATTCTTGCCTCATTCAGTGCACTGTCCGGTCGCATCTTCTGTCACTCAAGGCCTGAGGGCGGGGAACCCGGAGCCCTATCCAATCAAGACGCTGGGGTGGGAACTGTCCAATCAGATTCACAACCAGAGAGGAAGGGGCGGCTCCTGGTATCTGGCGGGGTCTTTGTCTTGTTCCAGCCAGAGCTTGAGGTCCTTGCTTTACTGTCCTGTGTCCTGTTTCCTGGAGGTCTTGGTGATTCTGCCACAGCCTCAGCCTCACCCTCCATCGCTCTGTGACCTACTGGTATTGGAACATTCATAGCTAAGACCGGAGGACAGCTCTGAAGCCGCAAAATGGTGAGTGTGTGGGGCAGGGCATCCGGACACGGGGTAAGTCTCATCGGAGCTGGCCAGAAATGGCGGTGGCGGGACCGACTCTGTGAGCCTGAGTTTCACGTAGCTCAGCCCTCAGTCTCCTGCGGTGCAGGGACCTCGGGCGTCCTGTCCGGTTTCAGCAAAGCTGCGGCTTTGGCTCCAGCGGCTTGCAGCTCTGCGCCCGCGGCCCCGCATCTTCCCCAGGTTGTGAGGTGATGAGGAGAAGGGCATCAGGGAAAGATGCTGGCTGAGTGCAGGTGTCCTGCGTGGATGGAGCTGTAGTCTGTGGGGTCCCCAGTCCCTACTTCACCCTGTTCAAAAATAAACGGAGGCACCATTAAAGAGTTAATATGAGCAAACAGTGATTAACCAATGGGGTAACCCCTAGACATGGTTTGTCATTAGGGACTACTAGAGGGTCTTAAAGAAAGGCTTTAGCCGGGCGTGGTTGGCTCGTGCCTGTAATCCCAACACTTTGGGAGGCCGAGGCAGGCGGATCACATATGGTCAGGAGTTCGAGGCCAGCCTGACCAACATGGAGAAACCCCATCTCTACTAAAAATACAAAATTAGCCGGGTGTGGTGGTGCATGCCAGTAATCCTAGCTACTTGGTAGGGTGAGGCAGGAGAATCGCTTGAACCCCAGGAGGGTAGGTTTCAGTGAGCTGAGATCGCACCATTGCACTCCAGCCTGGGCAACAAGAGGAAAACTCCGTCTCAAAAAAAAAAAAAAAAGAAAAAGAAAAAAGAAAGAAAAGGCTTTATGGTTTGGGAGGAAGCAAAGCAAATTAAAGAATTGATTGGGTACAGTTATGAAGTCGCTTCATTTGGAGTGTCCAGGAGAAAATTTTCTGGTTATATAATCAGATTAATTGGAGATTTATGGTTGATTAAGCCTGAATTTTGTTTTCTCCTAAGGTAGTAACTAACAAGATATGGATTCGAGTTATGGATTTGAGTTAGATTTTTTTGTTGTTATTGTTGTTGTTACACAGGAACCTAGATCCCTAGAGCCACTTGAGTCTAATTACCTTCTGTTTAATTATTTTAACTTTAATCAGAGGCACTGTTTTTTCCTGTGTTTTCCAAATGTGTGTCAAGCAGGGTCTCAAATCCACTACTCTGTTTCTGCCAGCCTAACTTGGCTTGCAGTAAAATCTTAAATTTCCAGTTTCTTTTTAACATTCCCCAAAACCAACTCCTCCCCTCCAATTCACATTATCAACTTTTTCTTTTTTATTGTACTTTTCTATTTGTAAATATTTCATGAGAGGAAAGCAAAAAATAATCCCCTTACATTCCACTGTCAAAAAAATCTTTCTTCTTTTTCTTTTTTTAATCTTCCTTAGGCACAAATGCCTTATCAGGACATGTTTAAATTTAGGTTTCTGTTTGGAAACTTGATGGAACAGAGTTTCCTCAGCCACATTCTGCTCTTTTTTCAGTCTTGAGTTTTGACAAATTTACAATACATCAGGACTGTTTTGGGATAACCCAAGATAAACACAATAGCTATGTCTTTTGGAAGAATATCAGCCCCTTGGTAATCTCTTTCCAGAGGACACCCTGATGTGTGGGAATGTAGCTTCTCAGGAGAATGCCCTCAGGCTGAGAGGAATATCCTGGTTTACCCTTTCCATACAAACAGAACCTTTCCATACAAACAGAATGTAGCTTCTCAGCTGAATGCCCTGAGGCTGAGAGGAATATCCTGGTTTACCCTTTCCATACAAACAGAACCTTTTGGGACTTTAAGGTTTTCTTTCCCCAACCCCAGTTCTTCCTGGTCAGTCAATTGGATGGCTGTATTTAGAGAAAAAGACAAAAATAATGCCTGTTTTCTCAATTCTCTCATATTTGTTCAGGCAGAAAAACAATTTTAAAAGACAACAACAAAAAACCCTACCACAGGGAGGCAGTGCAAGAATTTGCAAAGCAGAAAAACACCAGGGACACACAGTAGGGCATAGTCCAGTGTCTTCTGGGATGGAGAGCTTTGAGCACGTTAGTAAGTAGGGTAAGGATGGGAGAATGTCCCAAGTAATAGGATCGCCTGATTTGACATTTGAGTCAGATATGTGTCTCTTCTGGCCCAGTGCAGTGGCTCACACCTATAATTCCAGCACTTTGGGAGGCCGAGGCAGTCAAATCACGAGGTCAGGAGTTTGAGACCAGCCTGACCAATATGGAGAAACCCTGTCTCTACTAAAAATACAAAAAAATTAGCTGGGTGTGGTGGTGGATGCCTGTAGTCTCTGCCACTTGGGAGACTGAGGTAGGAGAATCACTTGAACCCGGGAGGCAGAGGTTGCAGTGAGCCAAGATCATGCCACTGCACTCCAGCCTGGGCAACAGAGTGAGACTCCATCTCAAAAAATAAAATAAAATAAAAAGATATGCATATCTTCCAATAACTACTGCTGTTCTCTAAGTTTGCCAACTGTTAGGGACAAGCTGCCCCAGAAAACCCCTCAATGCAGCTGACCCCCCACCCTGATTGCTCTGCAGCCACATTCCTAAACTCTTATCTAGGTGCCACAGCAAGGCTACCAGATGTGCTACCATGAGCAAAGCCTGATTATAGCCATCTGGACAGCACGGGGGAGGTAATAAGAAAGGTACTTGTAAATTTCTGTTTTACACATGCATGTAAATTCCTGTTTTTTTTTTTTTTTTTTTTTTTTTTTTCAAATCGCTGCCATGAAAGTCACAGGATGATGTATTGTAAATTTGTCAAAAGCTGGTAAACTATCTCGGTGCTTGTACAAGCTGATAGATACCTCCATCCAGAGACTTCCTTAGGCCCCTCTCACCCCACATAAACCCTCTCATTTTGTAATCTTGGGGCTGCCTCTTCTGACTGTTATGGAGCAGACTGGCAGGTCAAAAAACTTCCCTGCCTGACTGGGTCTTCTCATCCTTTCTCTCCGTTGACCTTAGATTTTGGTGCCAAAACCCGGGATGGGGTAGACTCTGGCTGGACACCCTTAGAGGTTGCGTGCACGTGCTCGTGCTCTCTCTCTCTCTATATATATATGTGTGTGTGTGTGTGTGTGTGTGTGTGTGTGTGTGTGTGTGTGTGTGTGTATGTATGTATATATATATATATATATGTGGCCTCCCTCCCTTTCCTATAACCCCTCTCCCGCCCACCATCCCCTTCGCGAACCTGCCAAAGATCCGGAGGATCTCCCAGACTATCCCATTGTTGGTGACCTAGTTCACCATCAGAGCCTTTGCTGGGGTGAGTAAGAGAGACTCTTGCAGTTTACCCAGGACCCTTGACCATCTCTGCCTTCCTGAAAGACCCAGCGCTGGGGCAAGAGCTTCCTCCAGCCTCCAGACCTCTAATTCTTCCAGCCTGACTTGGAGGCTACCTCCTCTATTCTGTACAAAGCCCGTTGGACAGGGGATGTCCCCGCTGTCCTTGTCATCGGCAGTCTCTTCTTCCCCTACCTCCCTCCCCCATTCACTATGGGAGCCTCTCAGTCTACCCCTCCCTAAACTATCCCCTTTGGTGTCTCCTGTGTAATCTCAGTGCCCTTGGCCTCTGTTCAGAGGTCTGTTCTAAGAGGCATATATTTTACTGCAATACCACTTGGCCTCAATACAAATTAGACAATGGCTCCCAGTGGCCTGAAAATGGCACTTTTGATTTCAATATACTTAGAGACTGAGACAACTTTTGCCATCAGAATGGGAAATGGTCTTATGTTCAGGCTTTCTTCACTCTCCATAGTCATCCTTCTCTCTGCCCACCCTGTTCTACTTTCCAAATCCTCCTCACCCTCTCCAAACCTGACTCATCTCCTGCCACACTCCCCATAGCCCCAGCAGATGACTCCTCTTTTTTTGACCCTGCCAACTTTCCTCTTCCTTGACCGAATCTTAATCCCCCACTAGAGCATCATGATCCTTCATTGTACGCCCTGCTCTGGCCCTACCACTTTTCCTTGCTCTCTCCAACCACCCTGCTTCTGACTCAGAGACCTCTCCAACCCCACTCCTTACCCACTCGTGAGCCCAACATGCCTAGCAACCAGCTCCCTTGCTTCCCCCCTGGGAGATAGCAGAAACCAAAGGGATCATCCAAGTCCCCAAGTCCACGTCCCCTTCTCCCTCTCCAATCTCTCCCAGTTTGAAAAAAAAAATTTTGAGTCTTTCTCCTTTGATCCCGATACTTATATCAGAGAATTTAAATATCTCACCTAGTCTTATTAACTCATTTGGCATGATCTCCATATTATCCTCTTTTCTAACCCTCTGGTCGAGAAGGAAAGAGTGTGGCTTGCAGCCCAGGCACATGCTGATGATCTTCATCGTCAAAATTTTACTAAGCCCATAGAAGCCGCTGCCATCGCCCGGGAAGAGCCTTCATGGGAACACCAACCCACAGACCCCGGCCGGGCATCCTGTAACCATATGATTACTTGCCTTATTGCAGGCCTTAACAAAGCTGCCTGTAAGGCTGTGAATTTTGAAAACCTCAAAGAAATTTACCAAAGAGCAGATGAAAATCCTGCCCAATTCCTTTCCCACCTTGCAGAGGCCCTCCAAAAATATACTCGCGTTAACCCTGACTCCCGAGAAGGAACTATTGTTCTTAATACCCATTTTATCTCCCAATCTGCCCCCAGCATCTGGCACAAACTTAAAAAGGCTGAAGATGGCCCTCAAACCCCATATCAAAGCCAGGCGTGGTGGCTCACATCTGTAATCTCAGCACTTTGGGAGGCCAAGGCGGGCGGATCACCTGAGGTCAGGAGTTGAAGGCCAGCCTGACCACCATAGAGAAACTCCATCTCTACTAAAAATATAAAATTAGCTGGGTGTGGTAGCGCATGCCAGTAATCCCAGCTACTTGGGAGGCTGAGGCAGGAGAATCACTTGAACCTGGGAGATGGAGGTTTCAGTGAGCCAAGATCATACCATTGCACTCCACCCTGGGCAACAAGAGCAAAACTCTGTCTCAAAAGCAAACAAACAAATAAAGCAAGACCTCCTTAACCTGGCTTTTAAAGTCTTCAATAACAGGGATGAGCAAAGTAAATTAGATAGAGGACAAAGAGCATGTGCTTCTATCCATCAGCCCAGCCATAGTACCTAAGGGCACAAAAAACCCAATAGCAGTAGCCCTCCTGGGCCTTGTTTTAAATGTGGCAAAGTAGGTCACTGGGTGCAGGCATGTCCTAACCCACAAGTGCTAAAAAGTCCTTGCCCAGTCTGCCAGCAGACAGGCCACTGGAAGTCTGACTGTTCTCTCAACAGACAGACAGAAAAGGCTGGACCTCAGAGCCACCAACCCTTCAGCAAAATGAAAAGTGAATAATTGCTTGCACTTCCACACCTTCTCAGCCTACCTACTGAAAACTAACGAGTTCCAGGGCCCCTGGCACCATCTGCCATTACTGCATTGAAGCCCAGGGTAACTCTTCTAGTAGCGAGTAAGCCAATCTCTTTTTTAATCAGTATTGGGGCCACCTTTGCCAGAATTTTCAGGACCCACTCATTCCTCTTAGGTCTCAGTTGTGGGGGTTGATGGACTCATTTCGTGCCCACACGCCATCGGACATCTTATTTATTCTCTATTTGATACTGTTTTCTCATATTCTTTTCTTATCATGCCTCATTGCCCTACCCCCATCCTAGGCAGAGACCTAACCAAATTCAAAACTTCTGTCACCTTTTTCTGTTCCCCACAACCAGATTCTCTCCCCTCCACTACCACGCCAGCCCTCGAGGCCTCCCCTCAATATCCATTCCCTGCTTCTCTTGTTAATCCAATAGTGTGGGATACAACTATCCCTTCCTAGCAGCTCACCATGATCCAATCAATTCCAGCTAAAAGACTCCTCCAAATTTCCTAATGTCTCTCAGTATCTCATTTCATTAACACACCTAAAGGCTTATGGTCCATTGTAAACAGACTCCTCTAGAAAGGCTACCTTAGGCTGACTCATTCTCCATACAATACCCCTATATTCCCTGTCACAAAGGCAGATGGCTCATATTGGCTAGTCCAAAACATCCGGGCCATCAGTCCAGCAGTCCTCATCCATCCAGGAGTTTCCAGTCCCTAGATGCTCCTTTTTCTTATCCCTCCAGTTGCCACCCATTATTCGGCCATAGAGCTAAAGGATGCCTTTTTTTTTTTTTTTTTTTTACCATTCCTCTGCACCCTGACTCCCAAAATCTTTTCGCTTTTACTTGGACCGACCCTGAAACCCTCCAGTCATGACACCTTACTTGGACATTCCTCCCCCAAGGCTTTAGAGATAGCCCCCATTTCTTTGGAGAAGCTCTAGCTCAAGATCGCACTTCCCTTGATGTCTCCCCTAACCAACTCCTCCAGTATATGGACAACCTCCTCCCCTGTAGCACCCCGCAGAGGACTCTCAGACTCACACTATTACTCCTTTAAATTTGGTAAAGGATATAGGGTTTCCCGTCCAAAGCACACCTGTCCTCTCCAACAGTGACGGACTTAGGAGTCCAACTCTGTCTCCCCCAGGGCCCAAGTCATGACCCCAGCATGGGCAGCATTAATAGATAAATCTACCTCCACCCCGCTTCCTTTTTTTTTTTTTTGAGATGGGGAATTTCACTCTTGATGCCCAGGCCGGAGTGCAATGGCACAATTTCGTCTCACTGCAACTTCTGCCTCCTGAGTTCAAGCGATTCTCTTCCCTCAGCCTCCCAAGTAGCTGGGATTACAGGCATGTGCCACCATGCCCAGCTAATTTTGTATTTTAAGTAGGGATGGGGTTTCATCACGGTGGTCAGGCTGGTCTCAAACTCCTGACCTTGTGATCTGCCCACCTCAGCCTCCCAAAGTGTTGGGTTTACAGGCATGACACTGCCCCCAGCTGAAATCTTTTCTTTCTTAGGCCTGGCAGGCTTATTCAGAATATAAATTCTTAACTGTGCCCTCCTAGCCTGCCCCCTCTATGAAGCAGCCAAAGGCTCTCTAAATGAGCTCCTACATTCTAAATTCAACATAATGCTTAGCCTCCATAAACTTAAAACCACCCTCATAACCACTCCTGCTCTATCTTTGCCTGGCATCTCACAGCCCTTCACTCTACATGGCCAAAAACCATGGAATAGCCCTTGGTGTCCTTGGATAACAAAAAGAAGGTCCTCCTTGCTTTGCCTCCATAGCTTACCTATCTAAACAACTAGATAACACCACCGAAAGGTGGCCGACCTGCATTAAAGCCCTAGCAGCAGTTGTGCTATAGCTGGCTTAGAGTTAGAACCTAAGCAACGCCATTTTATACAAGACAAAGCTGTTTTTCCAAAAATAAGTTGTAACGGCTGCCCCATTCTCCTCGCAATAACTACTGACCTTGGCTTCTGTAAATAAAAACTGCTAGCTTGCTCTGAAAAATGCCCACTATGTAAAGCTGCTTGCCTTTTCTCATCAGTAACAGCCAGAATTACTGGCCTTTGCTTATCAGTAATTGCCAGAATAAGCTTCTGTAAAGTTGCTTGCCCTGCATCCCCTCACCCTCTTCCAGGATGTGGTTTTTCAGCTTAAAAGCCTAGCTCCCTCCTGAGCTCGGGGCCACGGGTTGGAGAGACGTGAGTCCTCTGTTGCCGCTGGCAATAAAGACCCTGCAATTTGGCATACTTTGTCTTGGTGTTAATTTTTATACTTGATCTAATCTTCATTTGGAGGCCCCAGCGAGATCTTGTCTTTTTGTTTAACACCAGACAAAAGCCATCTCAGAGTCTTGCCCAGGCAGCTGCTCCCAACCTTGGGGGCATCTAGGGGAGGCGCCCCCTGAGCTGTCCCAGGGCCCCAGAGTGCCACTGTGGAGGATAAGCGACCACCCAGCCAACATTCACCCAAAATTCCTCAGGGTCCTGAAAACCTCCAGAGGTAAGTCTGTTCTGTAGTCTGTTCTATAATCTGGTCTGTAAGCTGGGTACTAGTTCAAGGGGGCCTGAGTCAGGGGACTGGACGCAGTCATTGCAACTCTGACCAGGCAGGCCTCACCAAGTCATCGCTTGAGGCTTCTGGTGGCTGGCACAGTGGGTATCAGCCTTCTAGTGGCTGGTGCAGTGGGTATCAGCCTTCTGGTGGCTGGTGCAGTGGGTATCAGCCTTCTGGTAGCTGGTATAGTGGGTATCAGCATTCGATTGTTTTCCATAAACTCTGCGTGAGTGAAAGAGCGAATGTGTGTATATGTAGTCCCATGGCTGAAAAGCTATGAGGCTTGTGTGGGCCTTCACCCACGATTCCACGGGAACATCATAAGGCATAATGGTGATTCACCTCAGAGCTGTCCTACTCGGACCTCCATCCTGAGGTGACCAGGCCCAGGGATTATACGGGTACACCTTAGCCAAGACGCCCCTGAAACATTCCTCTGGGAATGTGGCCCAGCAGGCATCAGACTGGTCTCCCATCTGGGAGGCACCTAACCCTTGTCTGTCACTCTTGTATGTGGTCTTGTCTCGTCTGTGAATTTGTCAGTTTTATTAGACTCCTGCTAGCAGACATACACTGGTTCAGGCCATCTTCCCTCGAGGTAGGGGATATCTTACAGTGGTTCATGAACCACTGGATGCAGGGAACTTTTATTGATTACACCCCAGCAGAAATTACTCTCTTCTCCTTCTTCCTCATCTTCTTCTTCTATCACTGAGGCCTCACTCCCTCTTCCTTTGCCATGTGGCAGATAGTCTTAACCCTGGTTGTCTTTATTCTCTTCGTTGTTATGGTCATCTTGGCCTGTAATTTCTGCCAGCCACCGCCACCAGGAAAAGAGTACTTTTGCCCGTGCTGGGCTTGATTCCATGTCAGGAAGGCAGTTGTGCCCTCGACACCTTGGAGGTAGTTTCTTTGGAGTTGTGGGGAACAAAGCCCTAGATCAGAGTTTATGAGTGCTCTTTTCCAGCCTGGAATGGAAAAAAGATAACTGCTTATTCTGCCAGGAAAGTGTCCAGTGTTGTTATGGGTGGTGCCTGACGGTGCATCATAAAGAGGCATATTGGCACCATCCTGGTTGTTGGAAGGTCGGCTGCCACCGCCCAATAGAGACTGACTGGCACCACTTCTGTGCACTCTACCGGGTGTGGTGGGTCCAAAACACACATCCAGTGGACCTCTTGGTCCACCTGTTTTGTCACTTCCTGACCTTTCCAAAGCAACTGGCCATTAAAATTTATAAAAAGGAGGATTATGCACGAGCAGCGCTAAACCTCCATAGTGCTTATTCTCGCCAGTTGCAGTTTGCGGGGAGAAAGACTGCCACCATACCCTGGCCCTTACCCCCTGTTCCTTTGACTAGAACTAGAGACTGACCCACCAATTCAATTGTCTGGTCCTTGCAGGACCTGGCTGCAGAAGCCCTGCTAAAACCTGCTTTAAAGAGGGCCAAATTTGAATTTGAGGCTTTCCAAAATTGGCTATACTACAGAAAGAGAAAGACACGAGTAGCAAGCAAGGGACCCAAAAGAAGACCGTGAAAATGCACTCATCACTGTCCCGACCATGCACCCCCCTCCGATGCATGACAACAAATTTTAGAACAGGGTTCTTTGGCCAGTATGGTGCTAAGCTAACCCCACAGAGGCTTCAGACCCTCTGTGAGTTAGAGTGGCCAACCTTAGGGGTAGGCTGGCCAGATACGGGGACATACGACCCCAAGATAACTCAGGCTGTCTGGAACATCGTGACAGGGTCCCCAGGCCACCCCAATCAATTTCCATACATTGATCAATGGCTGAAACTGATCCAGCACCCTCCTCCTTGGCTTGAAAAATGCATAAAGTGGGCTGGACTTCAGGTTATGCTAGCAGGCCCAAGGAAGAGCCCCTCGGCACCTGCTATTCTTCCAGCCCCTTCTGAGGACTAAGAGTTGCCTCCACCATATTCTCGGCCCTTGGGGATGGGGTCCTGACACCCCTCTCCAGACAGTACTAATGATCAGCCCTTATCTCCTCTCCACACTCGAAGTGGGGCCCCACACCCACCAAAGCTGCTGCCCCTCCAGGAGGCATCTCCCACAGATGGCAGCAGCCGGGGTTGCCCCATCTTTGTTCATGTCCCTTTCTCCTCTAGTGATTTGTATAACTGGAAGGCTCAACACCCTCCATTTTCTGAAAAGCCCCAGGCAGTCACAGGACTCCTGGAGTCAGTTTTACAAACCCACCGTCCAACCTGGGACGATTGTCACCAGCTACTCCTGGTGTTGTTCACCACAAAGGAGAGAAGTAGGATTAGACAAGAAGCCCATAAAGCAATAATTGGGACGGGGGGAGGATCAGTAGAAGACCGCCAGGAACAAATTAATGAAATTTTCCCTTCCACCAGACCCCAGTGGGACCCAAACACCTCAGCGGGCCTGCAGGCTTTGAACAATTTTCACTGGTACTTGTTAGAGGGGCAGCCCGAAAACCTACCAACCTCTCCAAGGTAGGGATCATGACCCAAGGTCTACAGGAGTCCCCAGCCGCTTTCCTTGAGCGCCTACAGGATGCCTACCGCACCTACACTCCTATTGACCCTGAGGCCCTGGAAAATCAGCGGGCCATTAATCTGGCTTTCGTTTCCCAGTCTGCCCCAGACATAAAAAGAAAATTGCAAAAATTAGAGGGGTTCCAGGGAATGAATTTAACTCAGTTATTAGAGATTGCCCAAAAAGTCTTTAACAACAGAGACACCTTAGAGGCCAAGCAAGATAAGAGAGTCACTAAGGCAGTGATAGCTGCACTCCAGAAGACCCAAGTTATCTCACGGGGACCAGGAATCCAGCAGAGGGGCCCAGGGAGACAAAAGCCCAAGTTAGGGCACAACCAATGTGCATTCTGCTGACAAGAGGGACACTGGAAAAACGAATGTCCAGAGAGGAGGAGGCAAGGGATGACACAGGGGAGACAGCCAAGGGCCATTCTCAGCTTAGAAACCCAGGACTGACAGAGCCCGGGCTCATATCAACTAAGACCCCAGGAGCCCAGGGTCATTTTAAAAGTTGGGGGTACACCTGTCAGTTTTTTGGTCGACACAGGAGCGGCCCACTCAGTCCTTACGCGGCCTCTGGGACCACTATCCAGCAGAAAAACAATTATTCAGGGGGCCACAGGAAGAACCACAACTAGCCCCTGGACCACCAATCGATTCGTGGATCTGGGAAACGGCACTGTCACCCACTCATTCTTAGTCATTCCTGAGTGTCCGTGCCCACTCCTAGGATAGGACTTACTCCACAAACTGCAAGCAAATATTTCTTTCAGCAAGGGTCAGGCTTGCCTCTCAATTCCTCCTCCCTTAGCCACAGAGTCACCTCAACAGATCCTCATCTCCTGTGTTCTGTCAGACGAGTATCTCTTGCAGGAAGCCCTTTCCATAGAGGCAGATCAACCACCCACACCAGACCTCCTCCGCCAGTTCTAAAAGAAAGTACTGGGAGTATGGACTGAAACAAGTCCCCCAGGTTTGGCAAGTCACCGCACCCCAGTCGTGGTCCAACTATTGGCAATGGCAACTCCAGTCCAGGTGAAACAATACCCTATGAGCCAGGAAGCCAGACGAAGAATTGCTCCACACATCACCAGGCTCTTAAAGGGAGGAATCCTCACTACCTATAAGTCTCCCTGGAATACTCCCCTGCTCCCCGTGCTAAAACCAGGCACACAGGACTATTGGCCTGTGCAGGACTTAAGGGAGGTAGATGGGTGGAAACTGTTCATCCCACAGTCCTGAACCCGTATACCCTTCTGAGTCTATTGCCCCCAGACCACCTCCACTATACTGTCCTGGACCTGAAAGATGCATTCTTCTGTATAGCGTGGCCCCGGTCAGCCAGCCCATATTTGCTTTTGAATGGACTGACCCTGATACAGGGGTCTCTGGGCAACTCACTTGGACGAGACTGCCGCAGGGTTTTAAAAATTCCCCCACTCTGTTTGATGAGGCGCTGAGCCAAGATCTCATGGCCTTTCGAGCCAAACACCCAGGGTGTACTCTCCTCCAATATGTGGATGACTTACTCTTGGCCACAAAAACCCAGAAGGACTGTGAGGAGACCACCTTGTCCCTACTAAGGACCCTACAGACTTTGGGCTACCGGGTCTCAGCCAAGAAGGTCCAGCTATGCCAGTCGAGAGTCACTTATCTGGGCTATATCATAGAAAAGGGAAACCGAGCGCTGGCACCCAACTGAGTCCACGCTGTACAGCAGATACCCACCCCTACCACTAAACACCAAGTTTGGGAATTCCTTGGAGCAGTAGGGTACTGTAGGCTATGGATTTTGGGATTTGCTGAAATAGCAAAACCCCTGTACGCTTGTACCGGAGGGGACCAGCCTTTAACTTGGACGGCAACAGAACAGCAGCCTTTTGACAGGCTAAAAGAAGCCTTGACTACGGCCCTGGCCTTGGCCTTGCCCGACATCTCTAAGCCCTTCCAGCTATTCGTACATGAAAGACAGGGGGTCGCTAAGGGGGTACTTACTCAGACTCTGGGACCCTGGTCCCGGCCAGTCACCTACCTCTCCAAAAGACTTGATCCTGCAGCCTCCGGATGGCCGGCTTGCCTAAGAGCGGTGGCGGCCACAGCCCTATTAGTCAAAGAGGCAGACAAGCTGACTTTGGGGCAGGAGTTAAACTTAGTGGCACCCCACACGGTGGAGTCACTACTCCGTGGAGCTCTGGGAAAATGGATGTCTAATGCCCGCATAGTCCAATACCAGGCCATACTTTTGGACCAGCCCCGCATAAAGTTTTCAAAAACCACAGTTTTAAACCCCGCCACATTGCTACCTGACAGCGAGCCAGAGGAACCCATACATGACTACCAACAGACAATAGATGTCCTCCACGCTGCATGACCGGACCTCACCGACGTCCGCCTGCGGAACCCAGAAGAGGTACTGTATACAGATGGCAGCAGTTTCATGGTCGACGGAGTCAGGTATGCTGGGGTAGCTGTGGTCACCCTAGAGTGGGTTATCTGGGCCCAGGCTCTTCCACACGGAACCTCAGCCCAAAAGGCAGAATTCATAGCTCTGATAAAGGCCTTGAACTGGGCGGAGGAAAAACTGTCAACATCTATACAGACAGCCAATATGCCTTTGCTACGGCCCATGTACATGGAGCCATTTATAAAGAAAGAGGGTTGCTTACCTCAGAGGGAAAAATCATCAAAAAACAAAGAGGAAATCCTAGCTCTACTAGAAGCTATATGGAAGCCTAAGGCAGTGGCATTAATACACTGCAAAGGACATCAGAAGGGAAATTCACCAGAAGCAAGGGGAAATGGGGCAGCTGACCTACAAGCCAGACAGGCAGCCTTGGGGCCAGTAAAACCTCTGTCTCTTCTTGTGACTCTGCCGGCCCCAACCCTGCCCCCTACCCCTACGTACTCACCTGATAAAGAAAACTCTGCTAAAGAACAGGGGGCACGACAAGATTCCACAGGATAGTGGACTCTACCGGCACAAGGATTGTGTTCCCCAAGGCTCTAGAACGGGCTCTAGTTAAGGACACACACCAGGCCACTCAGGGCAAACAAAACTCACTGAGCTGCTGAGGGCCAGATACTACATTCCACACTTGCATGAGATTGTTAGGGAAACTACTACTCGTTGTGATGTATGTGCCAGGGTAAATCCAGGAGGCAGTAGGTCTAGTCAGGCAGGGATAAGACTTAGGGGTACTAGCCCAGGGAAACATTGGGAGGTGGATTTTACTGAAATAAAGCCCCCAGCATGTGGCTATAAATACCTCCTTGTGTTTGTAGGCACTTTTTCTGGATGGTTCGAGGCTTTTCCTACTAGGTCAGAAACCGCACTGGTAGTAACAAAAAGATCGTTACAGGACCTGGTTCCTCGGTTCGGCTTGCCCCCGACACTGGGATCAAATAATGGCCCTGCATTTACAGCACAGGTTTCTCAGGGCCTGGCCAAGGCCCTGAGCATATCCTGGAAACTACACTGTGCCTATCACCCCCAGAGTTCAGGGCAAGTTGAAAGGATGAACCAGACCGTAAAGGAGACTCTAACAAAATTCATTTTAGAGACCAGTGAAAACTGGGTCAACCTGCTTCCTTTTGTTCTCCTCCGTACCTGATGTACTCCCTATAAGAAAGGCCTCACTCCTTTTGAGATTATGTTTGGAAGGCCCCCTCCCTTATTCCCCAAACTTGCGGACACCATACATGCTGAAGTCCATAAACATACACTCCTTAAGTCCTTGCAGGCACTCCAGTCTGTCCAGTTCCAGGTGCACACGCTTATCAAGGAAGCTCAACCTACCCCAGTGGACCTCACTGACCAGTCGATACACCCCTTCCAGTCCAGGGACAAAGTCCTGGTAAAGCGATTCACTGCCTCTGGCCTAACTCCTCGCTGGAAAGGACCCTACACAATCAAGGTGGGTGGACTAACTGCCTGGATTCACCACTCACATGTCAAGACTGCCCCCATGGATGCACAATGGGAAGTGGCCTCATCTTCAACAGACCCTCTAAAGCTAAAACTTTCGCGCTCTTCGCGGTTATCATCCTTGTCCCCCTGATTCCTGTAGTAGCCCCTCAAAAAGGGCCCCCCTTAATGCCCATCTATTACCGATGGGTCCTCACTGAGGGCTCGACAGGACAATATGTTCCGTGATTGGAGGCGGGACCACCCTTGCCAATCTAACCCTGGAGCATGTCCCCAGACAGCCTATAACTTTCTCTTTGGACCTCTGCGCCCTCCTAGGGGAAAGCCTAAGTGTAAACAATATAGACAAAACCAAGAGGGGAGGAAGGGCAGGGGTAAAGGGAATAGGATGTGGTATAAAGGAGGCTGAAGAACAGTGCCAGACCATGGGACTATATTTATGCCCTGGATCCACACCAGATAAGAGATGGAATTGTGATGACTTACACGAGTATTTCTGCCCTTATTGGGGTTGTGAGTCCATCTCCACTATATCAGGATATACTACAAACAGGGACTCTTTCATTTCCTTCACCCGGGACTCTTCCCCAAACCCCTGCTACACTGGTTCTTGTAACCCACTCAAAATAACAGTCCTATATCCAGATGGGAGGTGGGCAACAGGACGAACCTGGGGCCTCAGAGTATACATGAGTGGATGGGACAAGGGAAACATCTTTACCCTCCAGCGTATAACATTGCCCAGACCCGACCACCCAGTAGGACCAGTAGCCGAGGTCCTAAGACCTCCAAAGACCTTCCCCACGATTCAAATGGCCCCTACCCCTAGCTCTACTACCCCTACCCCCAGGCTAACCCCCATTCCTACCCCTGCTCCCGTCCAAACCCCCAGTCCTAAGCCATTTACAGAAACCAATCCAGACACTGAAGGCCTAAACCTTCTAAAATTATTGTCCTCCACACACACCTGCTTCACCAGACAAACCCAGACCTAGGCAAAGATTGCTGGTTATGCTTAAATCTTCTGCCACCTTTTTATGTAGGCCTAGCAGCACAACCTGACGTAGCCCCCTCAAGTACCTCATGTACTGAAAGACAGTTCCACATAACCCTAGGGGATTTAGAGGAAAAGGCAGATGTTTCCATTCCCCTAACTATAATCTCACTAGCTCCCCCTACCGAGGTTATTGTAAAAACACCCTCATTTTGAGTTATAATCAGACAGATTTTTACCACACTGCACTTGACTCTGCTTGGTTCGCCTGCACTTTTGGCCTCACCAGCTGCATTTCCACCTACCTGTTCAGCAACTCCTCCAGACCCATTCTTTGTACCCCCATGTATATACTGCCCCGGGTAAATGTTTATAGTGGACCCCAAGGTAAAACTCTCATAGCGTCCGATACCAACACACGTTGGAAACGGGCCCCCATAATTATACCCCTATTAGTGGGACTTGGTATAGCAGGGTCCACAGCTATGGGAATATCTGCCCTCGTCACTGGAGACCAAAATTTTAAAACCCTATCACACCAAATAGATGCAGATATTACTCATCTGGAAAACTCCATTTCCTGATTAACGGACCAGGTGGACTCTTTGGCTGAAATGGTATTACAAAATAGGAGAGGATAAGACCTGTTGTTCTTAAAGGAAGGAGGGCTGTGCGCCGCACTCGGTGAACAGTGTTGCTTTTACGCAAACAAATCCAGGCTCATTCAGGACGGCCTTGCGATGGTTAGGCAAAACTTAGAAACAAGAAAACACTGTTCAGAGAGGCCTCAGAAAATTGGTACCAAAAACCATTCTCTTGGTCCCCCTGGCTAACATCCTTACTCACCGGATTAGCAGGACCCTTGGTCCTAATGGTCCTAGGGTTAATATTTGGACCATGCCTTTTAAACATACTCCTCAGATTTATCAGGGAAAGAATAGACTCAGTAAAGTTAATGGTTCTAAGATCCAACTATGGGCCCTTGTGCCAAGAAGAGGAAATCAATTAAAGATTTAACACATGTTAAAAGAACAGGGGGGAATGTGCTATAGCTGGCCTAGAGTTAGAGCCTGAGCGACGCCATTTTATACAAGACAAAGCTGCTTTTCCAAAAATAAGTTTTAACGGCTGCCCCATTCTCCTCGCAATAACTGCTGACCTTGGCTTCTATAAATAAAAACAGCTAGCTTGCTCTGAAAAATGCCCACTATGTAAAGCTGCTTGCCTTTTCTTATCAGTAACAGCCAGAATTGCTGGCCTTTGCTTATCAGTAATTGCCAGAATACAGCTAGTGCTCGATTTATGACCACGGTCAGGACTGCGGACCGGTCGTAACATGATTTGGTTGTAAGTTGAGTAGGCTATATGTACAGTTGAAATGGTGCATGTGGAGATGGCAGTGCTGTCGGAAGCTGGTCCGCACTGTCGCACACCCAGCTGGGCAACGTTTGTGCTGCCAGACGCGGAGCATTCGTGGCTAGTGATTGTGGTCGTAAAGTCGAATGGTCATGAGTTGCATAGGTGGTAAGTCGATCAATACCTGTAAGCTTCTGTAAAGTTGCTTGCCCTGCATCCCTTCACCCTCTTGGCCCTCAAACCAGGATGTGGTTTTTCAGCTTAAAAGCCTAGCTCCCCCCTAAGCTCGGGGCCACGGGTTGGAGAGACGTGAGTCCTCCGTGGCCGCCGGCAATAAAGACCCTGCAATTTGGCATACTTTTGTCTTGGTGTTAATTTTTATACTCGATCTAATACTTCAGTCCTACTATCACCCCCTCTCCAAAGATCTGTCAGACAGCTTACAAGACATAGCAAAATCCATCCTTGCCCTACAGTCCCAAATAGACTCTGGCAGCAGTCACATTCCAAAACCGTCGAGATTTGGACCTCCTCACTACTGAAAAAGGTGGACTCTGCACCTCTTTAGGAGAAGAGTGCTGCTTCCACACTAACCGGTCTGGGCTAGTACAAGCTGCTGCCTGACAGTTAAATGAAAAACGCCTAAAATCAGACAGCGACTCTCAGACTCCTAGACTAACCTTTGGAGTTGGGCACCCTGCCTGCTGCCTCTCCTAAGCCCTGCCATAACTCTATCCTCCTCCTAGAATTTGGCCTCTGCCTGTTACATCTCTTTACCCAGTTTTTACAGGACTGTATTAGAGCTTTTACACATGGGACAATGTAAGATACGATGCTGCTCCAAGAATATCGACAGTTTCAGGAACAACAGTTTCTACAATCTAGCCTCTCCCCCGCAAACATCGTCCTTATCCAGCATGAAGCAGCCAGATGACAACAGCACCCCTCTTCTATAACCTATTAAAAGCCTAGAATGTTAGGGACAAGCTGCCCCAGAAAACCCCCTCAGCGCAGCTGATCCCCACCCTGATTGCTCTGCAGCTGCATTCCTAAACTCTTTATCTAGGTGCCACAGCAAGGCTACCAGGCACGATGTGTTGAACAAAGCCTGGTTATAGCCATCTGAGCAGCCCAGGGGAGGTCATGAGAAACACATACCTGTAAATTGCTGGGATTTTTTTTAACTGCCCACCGCCACAAAAGTCACAGGATGAGGTATTGTAAGTCTATCACAAGCTGATAAACAGTCTTTGTGCTTGTTACAAGCTCATAGATTCTCTCTCTCCAGAGACTCCCTAAGAGCCCTCTCACCCCAATTAGTCCCCTCATTTTGTAAGCTCTGGACTGCTTCCTCTGACTGTTGTAGAGCAGCCCAGCAGGTCAATAAACTTGCTTGCCTGACTTTCGGTCTACTCATCCTTTCAGCTGACCTTACACCACCTTGAACAGATTTGTTCACTTATTTCAACTTTGTTTTTTTATTAACTATAATTTGAATTTTGCCAGTAAAGCTTAAAACGTAAGAATATATTTACAAAGGAAATGAAAAAGGTTAATTTTGTTTTTTTTAAAAAGATGATTAAATATCTGATCCTTTTTTTTTTTTTTTTTTTTTTTTTTAAAGGTGGAGTCTAGCTCTGTCACCTCCTGCTGGAGTGCAGTGGCGCAATCTCAGCTCACTGTAACCTCCCCCTCCCAGGTTTCGGCAGTTCTCGCCTCAGCCTCCTGAATAGCTGGGATTACAGGTGCCCATCACCACACCTGGCTAATTTTTATATTTTTAGTAGAGACAGGGTTTCACTGTGTTGACCAGGCTGATCTCAAACTCCTGACCTTGTGATCCACCCACGTGTGCCTCCCAAAGTGCTGGGATTACAAGCGTGAGCCACACCTGGCCTAGTCATATATTTTAATTGGTAGAAATTTTTATTTACTTCTTTCTCCAACAGAGTTAGTGTAGTTAAGTTTCTCTGGTCTGTTGTTTTTTTGGGGTGATTTCAAACAGAATCTCAGGGCATACCTTTGAGAATGCTACCAGGGAAAGTAATAGGACATATATTTTCATTTTCTTTTTTTTTTTTTTTTTTTTTGAGACGGAGTTTCGCTCTTGTTACCCAGGCTGGAGTGCAATGGCGCAATCTCGGCTCACCGCAACCTCCGCCTCCTGGGTTCAGGCAATTCTCCTGCCTCAGCCTCCTGAGTAGCTGGGATTACAGGCACGCGCCACCATGCCCAGCTGATTTTTTGTAGTTTTAGTAGAGACGGGGTTTCACCATGTTGACCAGGATGGTCTCGATCTCTTGACCTCGTGATCCACCCGCCTCGGCCTCCCAAAGTGCTGGGATTACAGGCGTGAGCCACCGCGCCCGGCTTCTTTTTCTTTTTTTTTTTTTTTAAGAAGTCTTACTCTGTCACCCAGGCTGGAAGGCAGTGTCATGTTCTCAGCTCACTGCAACCTCTGCCTCCCGGGTTCAAGCAATTCTCTGCCTCAGCCTCCCGAGTAGCTTGGATTGCAGGTGCCTGCCACCATGTCTGGCTAATTTTTTTTATTTTTATTTTTGTTTTTAGAAAAGGCAGGGTTTCACCAACTTTCCAGGCTGGATTTGAACTCCTGAAATTGTGATCTGCCTGCCTCAGCCCCCCAAAGTGCTGGGATTAGGTGTGAGCCACCGCGCCTGGCCAGGACACATATTTTCTATTATGGCTATAGAAAATGAGTAAATTTCCATGGGACATTAAGTAAATTAATTGGTGATTTACATAGATACATCAAAACATCAGTTTCTCTTTTTTGCAAGGTGGAGAATTTGTCATATTTTGAATCTTTTCAGTATCTTGTCACCTGAATGTCTTGTGTTTAATGGTAAATTTTATAAAATGGTACTTGGCACCTTCTAGAAGTATTTACATGTCATTAATGTTTATTAAATAATTTTTATGGAAATAATTGACATATATGTATTGTCTGAAAGGAATATACACTGATTTTTTTTGTTTAGATATATAATTGAAATGCCTTACAGTTTAATTTCCTTTACGAACACTAAGTTTGAGTGATTTTGCTACATTCCTCAAGCACTGTTTTTTCATATAAAACCAAGTGAACAGTCCTGATCGGCGAATGGACATCCAAGCCCAGTGACTCTAAGCTAAGGCCAATCTTGAGTCCACAAAATGATATCGTTGAACACCAAGTTGGTTGGTTATTCCTGGTGAGCTTCCCCTGCAGGTGTTCCAAACTGCTCACACCAGTCATGGAAGGATTCTTTTCTTTTTCTTTTTCTTTTTTTTTTTTTGAGACGGAGGTTCGCTCTTGTTGCCCAGGCTGGAGTGCAATGGCGCTATCTTGGCTCACTGCAACCTGTGCCTCATGGGTTCAAGCAATTCTCTTGCCTCAGCCTCCGAAGTAGCAGGGATTACAGTTGGAATTTTTTTTCCCAGCTAAATTTGTTTTGTTTTGTTTGTTTGTTTAGTAGAGATGGGGTTTTTCCATGTTGGTCAGGCTTGTCTCAAACTTTCAACCTCAGGTGAATCCTGCCCACCTCAGTCTCGCAAGGTGTTGGGATTACAGGTGGAAGGTTTCTTTATACTGAGAGATGCTACAGAGCTTAATTAGCTGGGATAATAGGCATAAGCCACCAAATCCAGCCATCTTTTTGTATTTATAGTTGAAATGGGGTTTCACCACATTGACCAGGCTGGTTTTGAACTCCAGTCTTATGTGATCCATCCGCCTCAGCCTACCAAAGTGCCAGGATTACAGGCATGAGCTGCCACATCTGGCCCCATTTTGCCTTTAAAAATACACTTGTGGCCGGGCACGGTGGCTCAAGCCTGTAATCCCAGCACTTTGGGAGGCCTAGGCGGGTGGATCACGAGGTCAAGAGATCGAGACCATCTTGGTCAACACGGTGAAACCCCGTCTCTACTAAAAATACAAAAATTTAGCTGGGCATGGTGGCACGTGCCTGTATTCCCAGCTACTCAGGAGGCTGAGGCAGGAGAATTGCCTGAACCCAGGAGGCGGA